TGTTCCTGACCCAGGATCGCTCCAGGGTGGACGGTCTCTGCAGCTGTCCCATCTGCAAGGGACAGAGCCCCGAGGCCACCACTGTGACCAGAGTTGACCACAGCCCAAAGGTATTTCCACTGGCCATGTGCCAGCACCCAGTAAGCCACAGCAGATGAGGGGAAGATTTTTGTGGACTGGATCCATGGGGTTGGTGTCACTGCAGTGGTGGGAGAGCCCAGGCAAACGGGCCAGGAGCTGGGCTGGGAACTTACCACCACACCAGGGAGCTGTGCAACTGCACCCCAGCCAATTTCAGCCAGTAATCCTTTCAAACACATTGCCTGTCCCCAGCACGTTCATCCTCCTCAGGAAGCATTTGTTTGGCATTCAGGCACAGCCTCTTCTGAACAACCCAACAAGCTATGATTTATGTGATGCCTTTGTCTTCAGACACTGTTGTCAGCAACACCCATCCTCAGGCAAAGCCTCCGATGCCTGCAGATTTCCAAAGGTTGCTATCATGGACACACTGCCATAAAGGATAACAAACAGAAGCTTTAGTAAAAGTAGAAATGATCATTTGTTAATCTTCTCCTGTAGCTATGTTCAGCCCTGTCCCCAGAAACCAGAGGCCTCAGGGGCAACACTTCCAGGACAGAAGAGAAAACAAATTGACGTACTGTCCTGGGCTCCAAAGATTCTCCTACAGCTGGAGAAAATAAGTGATGTTTTCACAGCAGCTACTCACAGGATCCCTTTTCCTAAACTCTCAGAGTGTTCAGTATCTTCCATGCACCCAGAGCAACAAAATAGCTTTCTCAGCATTAATGGGAAAGAATCCAAGACAAAAATCACTATGGACTAAATTATGGTTGGTTTTTTTCTGCAGGAAAAATCAGTTGTTTGAGCAGTATCCCCTGGATACAAAAGCAGCTGATCACTGCACACCAGCTGATGCAAAATGGCTTGGTCTGTCTCCCATGCCTGAATGGATCCAGCTGCACCATCCCCCTTCCTCACGGCGACTTGCAGATAGATCTCCCTGTGGGCTCCTGCATGCACAGATGACCTCCTCCCCTCCGAGGGCACACCGCTGCATGGGGCTTGCCCTTCTGCACTGTCTGCACCCACTGCTTTCAAACCCATCTTGGATACTGTAGGCAAGGTCCTGGGTACACCCTCAAGCTCTAGGCCTGCCAAATGCAGCAGGTAACAGAGCTTTAGGGATTTTTAGCCTTTAAATCCAACACAAGTAGCTTTTTGGACCTGAGAGAGCTTTAAGCATCTTGGGAACTGTCTTTTGTGACACCCCTGGGCTTCCCATTTGCATCAGCCTTTCTCCAACCTCCACTCATGCCACCCATCGCAGGGCAGCAGCAAACCCCCTACCTGCCTTTTTGAACATCCTGAGCACTGAGGATCCTCCTGCAGGTCCCCAAAAGATGCCTTCCCTTCATGTATCCCAAGGAAGGTCCCCACAACCTCCACCAAGGGACTGAGGCTCAGGGATGCCACCAGCACAGGGCCATGGTATGGGTTTTGGCCAACAGGTCACCCCTCGGCTGCGCTCCCCAGCATATGAGCTCCCATACAGCTCCAGCACCCCCAGCAAGCATGAGCTTGTGCCAAGTGTCGCAACACCTCCCTGTTATCACTCCAATTCCCGGGCGCCGGGACTGCGAGAGGAGCTCTGCTTTTGCTTTAGCCCATTCTCTCTCTTGGGTTCAGAAGAAGGCCGGAAAATGTGAACCACCCCAAACGAGCCTGTTGGTAAATGCCATTATTTTGAAGAGGCTTAAGAACCGTTTGTGGCCTCTAAGCTGTCATTCATGATCATCTGGGTCTGGTTTGTGATCTTTGAATGCTTTTGCTGGTGACTCTGGTACAATTTCCCCAGGGCACTGGTGACTTTTCTCCATACATCAAGTCTTCACAAAAAGCAAATTCCAGCCCTGGTACAACAAGTGCTCCTACAGCCTGTTGTGGATGGGCCATCGCAGGGAAGTAGGTAGGTTCCCAAATTTTTCATTCCCCTGCAATGTAATTTTTCATTCCTTTGCAACACTTTACTATTCAAAAAAATGTAACTTGTGCTCAGATTTGGCCGAAAGATGATGCAGACATTCATCCTGCAGAAGGAGGATCACCCCTTCCCGCTGATAGGCCTAGAGACATACCTGCCGGTTCAGCTTGCCTCTCACCTTTTCGCCCATTACCCCTTCCCCGCATTCCTTGTATGGCATCGATTTCCCCTCCGAGTGCCTTCCAGAAGCCAGGAGAAGACACCATCAGCATGTGCAGAGGTCTTCTGTCCCACACCGTCTGTGGTGGCCATCACCCAACGAGGCAACCAAGGGGAAGCCATCCCACACCAGAACCTGCTTTGGAGCCTGCCTGTCCTCTCCATTTCTCGCGACGGGCGCCGTGCTCGGCAAGTCACACAGCACGGCTGGCGGAGCCGCCTGACTCATTTTTCTCTACTCCTCCAGCTGATGTGTTTGGAGGAACACGCTGCTCTGACAAGGTGACACATCCTGAGAAAGCCCACACTGCTGAAGACATCTCCCTGCTCCTTCTACCAGGAGCACCCAGCGCAATAGCAGTTCGCAGCTCTTTTTCATTCCTCCCCAGTCAAATAAGCCCCAAGCATTTCTGTTTGATTTTCCTGAGGGATATAGAATAGATGTCAATCAGGAGAGAGGAGCCTTGAAATCCCACGTTTCTGAAGGCATCTCATAAACACACAGATGTCAGTAGAGGCACTTGGAAAGGAAGGGCAATTGCTAACAGAGAAACTGCATTAAAAACCTAGTGTGACTGCTGTTCAGCTACAGCAGCGTTAGTGGCCTATGTTGGATTCTTCTTTTGGCAGAGGCAACTGCCCTTGAATCAGTTGGTTTGGCTCAACTCGTTGTGGAATAATTAAGTTCAGTCCATCGTATTGCATAATCTGGAGCTTCTTCAACCTGCCTGAGTAGTAAAATACTTAATCTCATACAGCTCTGGGAGATGTTACGAACATGAAGTTAAGTCAGTACAAACCTATCAGGAGCCTAAGCAATCAGAGGATGAAGAGAAGTGTCCAGGAGGCATGGGGAGGTCAGCAGCCTGTCTCTGCTTTCATGCCTCTGACTTGTGGAGGAAGGAAAGGAGAAAACCGTGGCATTACACACACTTGAATTGTCCCAGGAGCCAACACAGTTCCCATCTGCAGAGCAGCTCTCGTAAACACTGAGGATTTACCCATCAAACTCAAGTTTGGAAATGTGCCTGGATGTTTCCAAGGAATCTGAGGAAAGATGTTTCTGTTTCTGGACAATCAAAACTATCACATTTCCTGGCTACAGCAAGGATCTCTAAACTGAAAAATGTGCAAATGTGTTCTACCAGGAGTGGGCACATCCCAAACAAGGGTAATTAGAGAAACTCTTTCCAGCACTGCTCTATTTACATGTGTTACAGATGGAAGAGGAAAATCTTTTCCCCAGTTGCCCTTATGTATAACCGTAAACGCCCTTGCTAAGTCCCCTTCCAGCTTTGGGAAGTGAGACCAAAGCACCTATTGGCACCTATTGGCTTTACTCACACTGCGAACCTGGCAGGTGTGTCGGAGGAGCAACAGGGGACAGCATTGGATTGAGCTTTCTTTCAGCTATAAAAAATGATCGTACCTCCCTCACTTGCTCCTCAGAGGGTGATAACACCATGTGAATCCTTGTCCCAGGCACACTAAAGGACTGTTGCTTGCTCACAGAGGTCCACCAACACCCAGCCCAGCTATTCACAGCTGGTGAGCGGGTCATACCCAAAGCCAGCTTTACCCTCTGAGTTAATAAAATAACAGATGCCGTTAAGAGCAGTTCTTTCAGCCTCACGTTGCAGGTCGCCCCAGGGAGAGCAGAGGGAAGCCCAGACGAGGGCGGGGAAAATCTCCATCACCACCAAAGCAAACTCACAAGGGATGTTTCTGGCAGGGGAAAGTTCCTCCAGAACCACATTCGGACTGGGGTCTCCCTTGGACAGTGGAGCACCTGCCGACTGAGCTGAGATTTCTGTCTCACAAACAGCTCCTTGAATTGCTCTTGGCATTGACTTTTTCCTGCTCAGCTAATTAAAAATCTGTCTTTGAGTCATAAGCCCCCATTAGTAATAATTTGCTTTGCACTTCTCCAGTGATTTATGGCTGAGATATCAAAGTGCTTTAGAAACATTAATTAATCCTTCTAATACCCAAGGGACTGATCCACTCTCTGCAATGCACCATTGGTGGAGTAAATGTAGGAAATCCCCAGGGTTTACTCCAAACTGCAGGCAGGGAGAGGGGAAGGGAGCAGCATCCAACCCAACGAGTTCGTTTCGGCTGCCTGCCTGCAATCAGGGAGATGTGCAGTCAAAATAACAGCACTGAATGTGCAGCCACAAGCGAACCCAAGGCACGTCCAAGCTCTCTGCTCTCCGGCAGCAGTTCTTGCTGCTGTGCCTATCTGTCCGGGGTGGGAAGGGGAGCTGCGACACCCCAGCTCTGCTCTGCACATCGTGCCAGGAAAGGCGTGTGTGGACCAAAGCCATCTTCACCCAGAGCCCTGCAAGTGGCAGTGGCAGGGTCATTAAGCAAAGCCATACTACTCATGCTAACACATGTATTTTCCTTGCCATCTTGCCCATTTCTGCAATCTGCTTCTTGAAAAAGTTGCTTTTTCCCAGCTTGCAGTGCAGACCCAAGGCTGTCTCCCACACCTGAGATGCAGCTCCAGTCCTTGCCAGTGATAAGGATCATTACCTCCATTGGCTTCAGAGAGGCTTTTATCCTTGCGCACACCAGTGAGCCATTTGCCACCTGGTGTTGTCCCCGTACTTTGAATGTCATCACAAGACTGCGGGGTGGAGCTGGCCATGCAGGGAGGTGCCAGAGATGGGGAAAAGTATAAAGGTCCCAGCATAGACTGCCAGAGACAGGATCTCTGAAAGCCTGAGAAGTGTCCCCTCTTTGCTGTCCCCGGTAAAGCATCACCTTGACCATGAAGGCAACTGGTGCTTTCGTTCTCCTCTCCCTGGCACTCTGCTGCTACCAAGGTGAGTGCAACAGTTTGCTTAGGAGCCATGTCCTCTCCTTGCTAAAGCTCCTCGGTCTGCTGGGTGGGAAGGTGAGCCTGGGAACAGGCCAGCTGGTGCTGGGACCTTGCTCTGGCCCTGGGCAGGGAAAGCGAGCGATCCCCAGAGAGTGCTGTAATGGCCAACGTGCACTGAACCAGTCTGTGAGCAAGCCTAAAGCAAAGGCTTTAAAAGGGTGCCTGGCACCTGCTCCCCAAAATGAACAGACCTGCTGGTCTGACACTTTCCCTTCAGGCTTGGGATTCGGCCTGGAGCTGGTGATTTCTAGGACACTGCAGTTCTTTTAGAGTGAATAGGTGCTATTCTGGTTTCAGAAAAGCAAACCCAAGAAGACAGGAAAGACATCTATGCAAGGGAAAATGCAGCTCTCGCAACCAAAGTCAATGTTTAAGCCAACTGTGTTTTCAAAATCCCATATGGTGCTGAGGGATGAGAACATGAGCTGTTGCTGCTCTTCAGGTCCTGCTCACCAGGGATTTCTGCATTCGTGGGTTCATTCAGAACAGGAGGGAGCTTCTGAAACAAGTCCTCCGTCATCCTATTCACCGTGCGGCGGTTGCCATTGCAGAGCTGTCTGATCACAAAATCTGGACTTATTTCAGATGAACTGAGCAGCTGGTGAGCTACAGCTCCTGGGTCTGGACCAGTGCTAGTCCAAAGTAAAATCCCTGAAACCCTAAACAGTGTGGCTATCAGGCCCTCAGCACCAAACCATTTCACTCCACAGACCCACTGCTATTGGGCCACACTGGATGTAGCCTAAATCCTCCATGTAGATGACTTCTGGATCTATAAGCAACCCAAGATCTTCTTCTTGGTACTGCCTTTTGCTGAACAAATTCAGGTTGTTTTTCAAAATACACCCACCACATGTTCCACCCTTGCGATCCAAGCTGTCAGTTCAGGGCCAGCTTCTCCATGGAGAAGCCCACCAAAGTCACGGCTTGCTTCCACCAGCTTTGGTGTGAGACCTCAAGGTCCACCCATTTCTCCTTCTAGCAAACACCTTCAGCAACTTGTATTTTGCTCTGCTTCCTTGTGGTGCAAACCCACTGATACCAGAAAAATCACCCTGGATTTAGTCCAGCACCAGTCCAGCATCAGCAAAAAAAAACATGCGATAAGAGATAACGAAAGCCACCTTTGCTCCCTGGTAGCTGGCAGGGAAGGTCACTAGAGGTGCATCTGGCCTTGACAGGGCCTTGCACCATCACAGTGTTTCTGCCAGGGGAAAGAGGCAAATGCAGCGGGGAGGGACCCAGCTGCAAAATGGGGGAGATCCAAGGGAAGAAATTGTTTGCTGGGACAAAGGTGTCTGAGTGAAGACACACGGTCCTCAGGCTAAAGCATCTTTAGTAGGTCTCCCTTGAAACCAGCCCGAGTGATGGGTGCTAAGGCATCTTCTCTCTCTCTCCGCTCTTTCTCTAGGAAACGCTGAGACAGATGGAGCTGCTGGCAAAGGAACAGAGGTGAAGGCTCCTATTTTTGTGTAGCACAAGGGTGTGCCCAGCACTAACCCGAACACTGGGGAGCCAGAGTTGCCAGATACAGAGAAGCAGAGTGAGCTGCTGGGTTGGCAGCTCAAAGATGCCAGTGCCTGGGAACCTCCTTCCACCTGCTGTGCTACAGCAAAAGCCCAGTGATGGTACTGGTTTCCCACTGCATTTCGCCACACTCAGTGAAGGAAAATTGTTAATAAAGAGCTGAATATTGCTGTTACCTGCAAAGAAGTTCAGAGCTCCCCTTACTCTCTAGCTTGCAACTGCAAGGGCAGGTATGTTGTGGCATAAAAATAAGAAATGGGAAGAACATAATCAGGCACTGCCCAGGGGAGCATTACTCAATATTGTCACTCCTAAGGGTGTGCAGGAGTGCCAGGTGAAGTTTAGCTGGCCAAGGGACAGCATGGTGACAGGCAGTCCCAGTGTTTCTGAGAGTTCATAGCAGAGCTCTGAACAAGCTGGGATGGGTTATCAAGATACCCAATATGCACCTCCCTGGGAATGCAAAGCTCCTTTGGTAAATTGAAAGCATGATTAATATTTTCAGCATTACCCTTTTGTGTCTCCAGGCAGCTTGTGGCAACTATGACCTAAGACGAGGTTGTACAAAGATCTTTGACCCCGTCTGTGGCACGGACAACCTCCTATACAGCAATGAGTGTGTGTTGTGCTTTCAGAACCTGTGAGTATCTGGACCTCCTGCAAGTCTGAACATCATGCAGATGAGGGCTACTACATATGTCTGGGATTTCCTAGAAAGAAAGCTGTTTGCATGCAGCTGGGTGGAGCGTGGGCAGTGAGCCCGGCACATCTGGCATGAATCTGGCCTCCCGCGCAGATGCTGCACCCGCTGCTCTGAGCACGTGGACTCCGTCTGCGAAATAGGTCCGTTGCGTGCGGCTCGCAGCACACAAGCTGTCCACAAGCAGGGACTGCACGGCCAAAATCTCCCCACACCTGCAACTGCCAAGCTGCAGCGACTGTGCTGGCGGGTGTCCAGGAACTCAGACAAATGGCAAAGTCCTCAAAGTCTGCCCAGATCTAGCATGCAGGTAGAAAATATTTTTCCAGGTGATCTCAGATGTGTGGTGGCAGAGGAAAAACTATGGGTTTTCACCCCAGCAATTTATAGCTGAGCTCTGCTTTCTGTCTTCTCTGCATATGAAAGGATACAATTTGCTCTGCGTATTTTTAGGAATGAGCCTTATATTTAATCTGTGCTGGTGCCAGATTGCACTGTCTTAGCAGAAGGCCAGGTCCAAATGCTAGCGACGTCTCTGGCAAGACTTGATTCATTTCATCTGGCTTGGGCCCTAGGTAATTTTGAGTATATTTATACATTGGCAGCACTGTGTGTCAGACAAGTGAAGGAATAACTTCCAACTCAATGCTATTAGGTGGTTCAAAAATCTCTATTGGGAAGATTGAGTCTTATCTGTAGCCAGATGCTCCAGTCTGTGGGGCTAAGGGACCTTCACCCTTGACTTTACTTGCTGGAGGCAGGGATTTTGGTGATCAGACGCCCATCTGCCATCAGCAGAGACATCTCTAACAGAAGCTCAGATTCCAGCTTTTCTACCCCTGGATGAATGGGCTTGTAGAGCCAAATTCTGCTTTTAGGAGCATAGCCTCCCAGCCAACTCTGCAGTAACAAGGAACAGAATCGAGGTCACCCAGAAAAAGAGCATGGATAAGAACTATTGGTCTGGTTGTCCCCTCTTTCCTTCATTAACCCAGGCTGCTGCCCCATATTCTGCTCCTGGCCTGCTCAAATGCTGGTTTTACATTTTAGAGGCTGAAGACAATGCAGTCAGGCAGAGACATGCTGAGTGGGATCTCCTTAACGAAGGCGCCACGGCTAATGACCCAGCGCGGCATGGTGGGGCGGTAATGACCATGCTGGAAGCCAGCAGCCCAGCACCAGCTGTCGGCTGTATTGTGCAACAGATGGGGGTGGGAGGTTCGTCAGACACAACATCATTAGGGCTTTGGCCATGAACCAAGAGCGAGGTAAAGAGAGCGAGGAAGGCTTCAAAACCAGCTATGCAGGGAGCAAAGTGGCATCGAGGATGCTACGCCCCCCCGGTGTGGAGCACAGCTTCGGAGGGGATGGGAGACCTCAATGGTCACAAGAAGGAAAGTTTGAGGTACAAAAAAGAAAAAGACTGAGCCAGTGGTGTATCCAGAGCAGGCCAGGAGTCAGGGGAGGGAAGGGATGGAAGAGAAGCTGGTGCTGGCACCCGCCTTGCGTTGACAGGCGCTGCATCCCTGGATGCAGGGGATGCAGAGTTCTTCAAACTCCTGTTTGTGCAAGCTCTCCACAGCTGCAACTGGAAATGTGCTGCTCCTGCGGGTCAAAACCCTGAGCCTTGCATTTCCCCTGTAACGTTCCCAAGCGAAGAAGTTTTGGGGTTAGGAACAACAGCCATTTGGTCTCCCGGTCCGGGCGATCTGGGCCAGGCACCAGGACTTTGAAGCTGCCTGGTGCCAAATGTCTCAGGAGAGAGATAAACGGAGCATCCTCGTCTATAAAGCTTTCGTCCATGGGGAAAAGTCAGATAGCCGAGAGGCAGGATGAAATGTCATTTGCAGTTTTGTGTGAGCAACCGGTCTGACAAGAGCTGGAGGCCTGCAAGGAGTCTGGGAATAACTACAGCGAGAGCATCTGGCGGGTCCCTGTGGCAGTGGTGTCTCACTTGTCGCCTTTGGTCACTTCACCGTGACCAGCGTGCAAAATGCTTTTTGCAAAACACAAAACAGCTTGAAAATCATTTTACCAGCATTTCTCAATGCACCTGAGAAATGGCTTTGTCTTTGCGAAGAGGAGATCATCACGATTCCACATGAAAATGGAAAAATTGAGAGTAACTAGGTCCACTACTGGGCAAAAAATAATAACAATAATTTTTTGCGGGTGTCTTTTTAATATTTTCCTCGCTTTTGCTGCAGAAGCAATCAGGAGGAGAGGCTGGGAGCAGGACCAAGCCCAAGCAAGACACAATGGCAGGCATTTGTCTGTAAAAACCCTCAAAACAAAGTCATAACCTTTATCATCTGCAGCCAGACAGGCATTAGAGGTGTCTTAGTGCTGTCCTACAGCACAGAGGTGAATTATTCTGCCAGGAGGTGTCAGGAAGTGCCAGCTTTTGAGCTTATTGGAATTAATTAACACATGTCCATGGTAACCCTGAACTCCCTGTCAAGAATATGTGGCCTTACTTACTGTGAATAACACTTAAATGAAGATTTAAGCAGTATTTTCCTTTCTTTCTTTCTTTGTCCTCTGAGCCAGGCTGTTCTGTGTATCAGGGAGGCATCCTCTAGCATTTTTAACCTTTCTTCCAGGCAAAGAAACACTAATGTGGGCATAAAGAACAGGGGATTGTGCCAAAAGCCCTCTCCACACTCCAACTCCGCTCAAAACTAAAAGGTGCAACCATTCCAGAGAAGATAGCACAAACCTGTCTCTCACCTATACAAACTCCTAATAAAATGGAAGCATTGCCATGTCTTACATTGGGATTTCTTACACACACAGCAGACCCCTTTCCTGACATTTAAAATACCTTCCCGAAAAATATGGTTTGTTTTGGTAATACCCATAAAGAGCTGTGAGCAAATTATTGACAGAGCCCCAGAGACAAGGCTAGGACATGCCCAAGGAGAGAGCTGAGCTCTGGCGTAACAAGGAGGCTCTTTTTTGCATCAATAATTTTGCTTTCCTTCCCTAAACTTGCAGCATCCGAGCAATAGGAGATTTTAGCATTCTCATTACCTACAATTACATTTGCTAAATACAGGGCATTAAAGCCCTTACTCCAGGGCCTTTGCGAGGAGGAAGAGTCCAACAAGTCATTTCCACGCTGACCTGTCTGCAGCCTTGTCCATATGCCAGTGCCCCATCACATGGGCTCTGTGCACCGAGAGCCACCAGCCTCAGACTTGCCTTACAAGTCACAGCTACCCAGTGCCTCGGAAAACCAAAAAGGCTCCACTTTTCCAGGCAAAAACCTCTTTTTCCTCCTTGGTGAGCTTTGCTGCTGGCACCCGGGCCCGGGCCCCCGGGCTGCGGGCTGGCGGGAGCTGAGATGCGGCGCCCGGCGCAGCGGGACGCAGAGTGCGGGTCCCTGGATGGAGAAAGGGAGGAGGTTTCGGCACTGGAGGCCGCTGTTGCTCCGCCGGAGCCGGTG